GCTATACAACGGCGAAAGTCAAAATTGAAAATCAAATATGGCGACTTTTCCGTGGGGTTTTTGGGGTTATGGCCGGTGGGCCAAGGGAGGGCTTTTTGTACATCTCAGTGACTTATACGTTGCCATGAGTTTGCGACATATTCTAGCTTTGGAACGTTGGCGGCCGGGGCTGGGTATTTTAAAGCCTTGTAAGGGCCGGCTTACAAACACCCCGTACAAACGCGCAGGACCACAAATGTGCCTGTGGAATTTCATTATTCATAATACTGATTACGGTCTTCCGGGGCCCCAGTGATGTACCATGCGCCGACCAGAGGCACCTCAGTGGCGACCATGACACGATTTATTAGGTTGGACCTCATTGGAGCCATTGCGCAAGGCATCGTACCAAGTTTCATTTTAATCACACTTCGAAACTTTTCTTGATTTTAAAAGGGAGCCGGGCACCTTGTTTTGCGGATGCCTGAAATTGTGCCACGATGCCTAAGGGAAGAACATGGGGAACTATGGACCAAAGCTTGGTGTCAATCGGACATACCAATGTGGAGAAATTGGGTCCACTTCCTTTTTTGACGGGAAAAATTATCAGAAGCTTGCTTTATATTTGTATAGCGTTGCTTATTCTAAGATATCAAAAATCTTCAAATGGACTTTTTTTTGCAGGATTGGTCCCAGATGCTTACCTGGACGAGATTTTGTTGCGAAATCGCGGACAATAGTGTAAGAGTAACCCGAAAAAGGTGGTTTTTGGATCATTTCGCGGCTCTTAGGTTTTTTTGGGGGAAAAATAATTCTAGGCGGAAGTGGGGCGTGGCCTATTATGGTCGCGAGTTTCAGCTCCATTCACGGAAACGGCGGGTGGATATTAAGGTTTTGGGAATGTGTTGCCGACAAAACTATGCAGAAGTTATTAGCCTAAACGCACCATTTGATCGATTAGTAGCCGCCATCCTAGTGCGCAACCGAAAGGACACAGAATTATAAAGTTTTTTATCACCACGGCACCTGACATGTGCGCTGAGTTTCATGAGTTCTTTCGGAGCCATGTTGGAGACCTCCAAATATGCGTTTATTTTAGGGAGGGGGAAAAATAAGAAAAAGAATTCCGTTTCAATTACAATAGGCGCTTCGGGCACGCTTCAGTGCTCGGGGCCCTAATAATAACAACTAATTATTCAAAAAAAACTTGTTTTTTTTTTTTTTCATTGTTTTAGCCCATCCGCAATGCGGTAGTTCAAGCCAGGACCCATGGCAGGAGGCTTTCCACCAGTTATCCATTGAAGCAACCCTGCAAGACGCATAAAGCCCAAAGAACTCCGGGGAAGGAAGTTGAAGTTAGACATGCATTTAATGGGACATGAATTGGAAGTGCAGAAAGAGAGAGGAGGGAAGAGAGCGAGCTCAGCTGATCATGGAAATCGATAGTCTAGGCCTATAGCAACATAACTAAGGGGATTGTTCAGGACTCACCTATCAGCCCGTAACGTATAAGCTTTATCAAAGGGAGGAACCGTCTTAGGCCTACTCTTAAATGCGGAGGGGAGTTTGTCTGGCTGCCCATCCCGAACACAACGGGAGAGCTGGTTCACAAAGGAGAAAAGGAGGCCTTGGTAAAACTGGAAAGCTCTGGCTCCTGTTCTACGTTTAGAGATTATAGGAACCCTGCTATTCAGAGAACGCGTGGCTTCTTAGGAGGGGGTGTGTGTTTAATAGGGTTACATGAAAGCTTCTTCAAGATATGAAGGGGCGTACCATTGTAAGAGCTTTAAGTGGAGGAGGTGATGTAATTTAAATTTTTTTTATTCTAAATTTTATACAGGCGAGCCAATTGCAGAGAAGCTTGAACCAGTGTGATGTAAGATGTGATCTCTTTCTGCAGCCTGCCGAGTACGTCTGCTGCAGCGTGTGTTGGAATTCCTATTGGAGCGCGTTTTTACATGGACCTGTATTAGGGCAACCCTTGTAGATAGATTTAAAAGAGTTTGCAGTAATCAAGCCTTGAAGTAACAAATGCGATGGAGTGTAGGTTTTTCCTGGGGATGTGCTCTAATTTATTGTAATGCTGTACATAACATGACAGAAGCAGTCCGTAGAGATCTGCTTTAGTAGTGGGAATTTAGCAGAGCCTGAATTGTAAAGATAACTCCAAATGGGCGGCTGACAGTGGCACCTAAGGCCGGTAACCAAGGTAATACCATCTAGAGTAGCTATATCTTTAGACAGTGAGTCTCTGAGGTTTTTGGGGCACTGGAAACCTGCAGTGTGTGGAGGGCAAAATGGATTCAATCAAGTATCAGGAAATCCTAGGTGGAAACGTCATGCCATCTGTGAGGAAGATGTAGCTTGGGCGTCATTGGACCTTCCAACAGGATGATCATCCCAAGCATACCTCAAAGTCCACCAAGGCTTGTTTTCAGAGGAAGTTCTGGAAGATTCTAGGGTGGCCGTCACAGTCGCCTGACCCTCATTGAAAATCTCTGGTGGGATTTGAAGAAGGCGGTTGTAGCACGCAAACCCAAGAATATTAGTGAACTGGAGGCCATCTCGCATGAGGAATGGGCTAAGGTTCCTCAGGAACGTTGCCAGAAGCTAGTGTCTGGCCATATCACGTTTGCAGCAGGTCATAACAGCTAAAGGGTGCTCTACTAAGTATTAAAGACGCTTGTCATGAAGGGGTTGAACAATTTTGAGGCTGCATTTTGTGTTGACTTTGGAGAAATCACTTGTTATAATAGTTGTGTTGAGCTATTTAAATTGTTCTTGTTTGATTTGTTTATGCAAACAGCTGAAAGCAATGTGGGAGAATCATTTTGATTGCAACTGTATATCTGTCAGTGGTGTATATCGTCTTCTGGTTCTCTCTCTGACCTATGTTTCCTGTCCCCTCCATCAGTCTGCGCCCTCACTGTTCCTCAAGAGTAATTTTGAGTATCTAAGAGGAAACTACCGTAAAGCAGTGAAGCTGTTGAATAGCTCCAACATTGCAGAGCATCCTGGACCCATCAAGACAGGTGACAACTACTGTACCTCAAGATTGATTGCTTCCTCTGATAAGCCTGGTGTCAAGAAGCAATACAGCTAGTTTTTCTTCCACTTACTGGTTCTGACTGTTCATGTATTATTGGCTAAATGATGCTTCCAAATTCTGTCTTAATTGGAGATGTAATAATGATTTTTATATGTGCTAGTTGATGTTTTCTGCATGTGTCCTGATTTGTCTCATTCAGGTGAATGTGTTCGATGTATGTTCTGGAACAATCTGGGCTGCATTCACTTTGCAATGGGGAAACATAACCTAGGCATTTTCTACTTCAAGAAGGCGCTGCAAGAGAATGACCACACCTGCGCACAGCTGGGAGACGGCAGCAACGGGCAATGTGGGTCATGGCAAGCACTGTCTCCTGACTGTTATCTTTGAAATGATACTTCATCTAGCTCTTTATTCATAGGCTTTTCATTCAGTATTGGAATCCACTGGAATCACTCAGTCCAGACTGCATCAACATATTTTACACTTCTCTCTAGTGGTATTTCTCCATGCTGATATGCTGAAGGTTGTAGGTATATTTAGTTTGTGACATTTAAAGAACAGTGTGTAGATTTAGAGGAATCTAGAGGTGAGATTGCAGATTGCAACCAAATAAAACTCCTTGACTCAGCCAAGTGTGCAATTCAGGTAATTAAATAGGGAAAATATATTTTTTTAATTCATCTTCTAATGCCATAAACACTATAAACCAAATCCCATTCACCTCCATTGTATTAAACGGTGGACAGAAATATCAGACAACATCAAAACCATCTGCATGGAGAGAGCCCTCTGCAGGACTGGTCTTTGGATAGAGAATGCCGTTTACACAAGGAAAATGCACTTGGTGTGTTTTTGATAAGTTTATCAATCAACCAAGTGCACACCCATGCTATCTAATTACTTAAGGTAGACGCTTCAGTTTTTAACTAAGCCAATTAGAAAAGTATAACGTGTCCTCAACAGTAACAAGTCCCTTTCTTGTGTTTCTTTTAATAACCAGCTAAGAAGTTCACTGGTATCCCCATGTGTGCTCTACTAGCCAACAAGCGCTATGAGCTGCTCTATAACTGTGGTATTCAGCTGCTGCACATCGGCAGGCCTCTGGCAGCGTTTGAGTGTCTGATGGAGGCGGTGCAGGTTTACCATTCCAACCCTCGACTCTGGCTGCGGCTTGCAGAGTGCTGCATCTCTGCTAACAAAGGGGTATGACCGATCTGGATTTGAGTTTAGCTTTGTTTTAATAGTTGCTTTATTTTTGAGTGTTTTGCCTCATTGGATATCCCTTTTAATATTTTGAAGATTAGTTGTTGTCATGTTGTCAGTGTTTGTATCTATTGTTAAAGGAAACAACCTTACACTAACTGAGCCCGTCCCTTTTTTTTTGGCAAATGTACCAATCCTACTATGGCGAAGGCAGGACCTGTCCTACTCTCCCTCTGATTATGCTGACCCTAACCACTCTCACTGCTCATGCGTAACATGATGGTTAGAAGATAACTAAAAAAGCTAACTAATGATTGATGTAAAGTACCTAATGTTTGCTCTGTAGCAAAATGCTAGCTAGCTAACTATTGACGATTCAAATTCAAGCTAGCTAGTGTGCATGCTCGACCATTAGCAACACCTAGCCTGTGCAGTCTGCTGCTCGTTCCTTTTTTTTTTTTTTTTTTATTTTCAAAAACCCAGTCACTTCTAAGTAGGTGTCGGGCGTTGTGCAGCAGAGAGAGACGAGCGCATATGGCATAGGGCCATATTCTGTGCATCAGGAAAGGAGAAAGTTGACAGTTTCTGTGTGGGAATATTTTCTAATAATAGGTTTTGTTTCAGTAATTATTCAACAACCATAGGCAATCTATTTTTCTTCAGTAAGATTAATATGGGTTACAGCAACTCCACTGTTGGTTTACATTACATTGCATGACTTTTTAATGATGAAGAGTGAAGCACATAGTGATTTCAAGGTCTTTGTCTATATGTTTTCAGGGTTCGGAGCAGGAGAGCAAAGGTTTACCTTGTAAAAAGGGTATAGTTCAATCTATTGTCGGGCAGGGCTACCATCGCAAGATCGTTCTGGCATCCCAGTCTACTCAGAATACTATCTACAGGTCAGTGGCAACACCATCCTCTGGCCCTGAGTGGCATTCATTTTGACATGAATGACATCTAATTGGTGGTTAATCACTGTTTATATTGACCTGATGTTTGTGTTTGGACAGTGAGGGCCAGTCAGCAGCTATTCCAGTAGCCAGTATGGAGTTTGCAGCCATCTGCCTGAGGAACGCTCTGCTGCTGCTGCCTGAAAATCAGCAGCTGGACACCAAGACAGAGAATGGTTCCAAGACCTCGAGTCAGTCAGGAAGCACGGAAAGCGGCAGTGAGAACAGTGACGCCTGCAGGTCTGACACACAACAAACAAATAAACCTTTCCACTCAGCCATTGTTCTGAAGTAGTAATGGAGAATTATGTGCCATAGAGAGCCAACCAAGCAGAGTTGCACATGTATTGTGATGAATGTGTGTTTGGTTTTGTGTTTTTTGCAGTGGGAAAGGTCAGGAGGCTGATAAGTTCTTGTCTGCAGCTCCATCATCTCCTCTCAGAAAACAGGAAGTAGAAAACCTCAGGTAATGAGACAGCTCACCTGACACATCAGTCATGATCCAGGAACATTAGATAACCTGTAACAGTAATTGATCAACTGTTTGATGTGTAGGTGCTCCATCCTGGCCTGTAGTGCCTATGTGGCGTTAGCACTGGGAGACAACCTGATGGCTCTTAACCACGCTGAGAAACTACTCCATCAAACCAAGGTGTCCGGATCCCTCAAGTAAGTGCTGCGTCTGCTGGTTCACCTGCTCGGTTTTTCTACCGTAGCCACAAATAAGTAAGCAGTGTCCTCACTCCACTCTCCAATTCCTCCTCCTGTGTGTTCAGATTCCTGGGTCACCTCTACGCTGCTGAAGCCCTCATCTCTTTGGACAGGATCTCTGACGCCATCGCTCACCTCAACCCAGAGAACATCAGTGATGTTTCAATGGGAGTGCTGACCAGCGAGCAAGACCAAGGTCAATGAGTTTTACACATTATTCAATTCAATTCAATTCAATTTTATTTGTATAGCGCTAATTCATAACATCTGGCCATTGTACGTAAGGAGAAGCTTTAATTGTTGCTGAGTTGGGCTGCTTGTGTTGGGCTCCAGATGGTCTGGTTGGGGGTGTTAAGGATGGATCTGTGAGCCAGGACTGGCTTAGTTTAGCTACTGCGGACAGGTGTATTGGAGGCTTCTCCACTCAAAAGCACATTTTGCAATTTTGTCATCAATTTTTCCTTAAAACTTGCAATATTTCAAAATCTCACAGAAACAATTCTCAGGAAGAGTTGAGAAGGGAAATCGTAAGCCTTGTTCCGGTCTTCATAGCTTTGTCTCTCCCCGCAACACGGTTTCATGTGTTGTAGCTGGAAACGAGTCTGATCACGAAGGACAAAGAGGCACACATTTCCCAACGCGGATGCACGCAGTCGACGCCACACTTTTTCCTTGGAGCTTAGTTCTTTTTAGCTGATTTGCAGGAGTTGGTGTATGTGTTCCTCTTGGTTTGAGTTTGATGTTATTTCTTGTAGAAAAAATGCTGGCCTCATGTTCATTCGTACAAGACGCGGTGCGTCGATACCGAGCGCGTCTTCTATGCGAGAACTCGAAAGCCTTCCACTTATCTATTAATCGGTGATTTGCTTTGGTAATAGTTATTAATTAAAGTTGTAATTAATATTCTTAATATCCTTAATTAAAGTAGAATTTCTATCATTTTATCTCGTCTCGGGAGTACATGAAGTGAGTGATTGAGTAATTTAATAAACCAAAAATTGAATTTCAGTTAAACCACAACGAATGGTGGCGCTGTGATTGACCATAAGCACTACAATATGGTACTTTTGTTTGTTCCCTCAGGCATGCATGGAGGGACTTGGACATGAGGGAAGAAGCTGGCCTCAACAGCTTACATATTGGTCTTTATGTAGACAGGTGTGTCAAGGTGACAGGTGATAGGAGATCTGACCGTTCTGTAGCTTCTAGAGTAGTACTCCAGTAGGATTGGCCTCAGGTGGATTCTCCTTGTTGTGTCACCATAGGATGCAGGCCTGATGAAGACAACCACAATATAGAATGAATTTTGAGATTAATTTTCATCGTGAGGTGTTGTCATGCAGTGAGAAATGTTGGGTGTGTGAATGTGAATTGACATGTAGGTGAAATTTGGTGGTCAGAACACTAGAAACTGCACATGGGTTAGTTTTTAGCGTCTGTTGTGCAACTGTGAGCATGGAACAGAGACTCAGTTTAAGAAACACATAACTGGACTTACATTTATAACAAAAAGGGTCCCATTCGTGGACACAATGAATAATGAAGAAGAGGAAACGGGTGTACATTGGTGCTGTTTGACCCCTGGCAGCTCAGAAGAGGTGCTTTTGAACTCGCGTGCTATTGTCTGGTGTAACTTTATTGGGTTACGTAAACTTTATCGGTCATCGGTTACCTGATGCAGGCACTGTGCGGGCCGCCTTTCGTACTCCGCTCGCTTAAGCAGGCTAGGCATGGCCAGGAGGTGTTGAAAGAGCCATCAGTGGCCCGAGGCTGATGTCACCATGCGTGGTAACACCATTGGGAGGTCTGCGGTTCCCTGCTGCAACATGCACACTGATCGGCCGACACAGGGAACTTATGAAGATGTGTGGAGTACGCTGTTAGTAGATTTTATTACAGTCTTTGGTCTCCGTATGCCTGTGTGTGAGTTGATACTGTATGGAATGCAATGTAGTTGTAGCACCAGAACTGTTTCTTTGTTTTGTAGTCTATTTTGACTCGGATGCATTATGTGATTTTATTATTAAAGCTGCAGGCTAGGTAATTTTTATAATTAGAAACCCAAGCTTTGTTCAGTATTGTGCTAAATTGTCACTGGTGTCTACAGTATTAGCATGAGATTGTAGTAAGGTTTGTGAAAAAGGAACAATCTGGGTTTCCTCTGTGCCCTCCAAGAGTGTTCCTAATTGCATTTGTAAGGAAGTCCACTGGTTGCCGGAACTAAGAAGGCAAGCCAGGATTCAGAGAGCCAAGAAAGATAGGAAAAAACACTCTGGGTTGGAAGCTTGGACATAGGCTGGGACAACCGTTCATGAGTGGGAGGAGGTTGACAATCACAGATGCGGTCTTCATTCTTCCAAGATTACATAAGAAGCACGTTAAGAGGGATCCAGAGGAACGAAGATTATCTGTCTCATGTTCTTTACTGTCGAGGATAGTAGTAACAGTTCTATAAAGATATGATCACAACATATTTATTTATTTTCAGTTTATATTAGGCGCTACTGCAGGCTTTAAATACACTATAGGTGACATTCTGAATAGTTTTCATAGGTAAAAGATCACACAAAGGGTTTAAACGCATGGGTGGGAGCTCACAAGACTCCAACAGGCTCATCTTCCTTTGTCAGACCCTTGTTTGGAGAAGAACAAAGCAGGCATTAGAGGAAAGCAGGCTGAACACTTTTTTTTGTGTAAAATAATGTACTGAGCTGACGTACTGTTGGAGTCGTCTGTAAATGTTTATAAGGAGTTCGGGTCTAGAGCTGCTCTATTTGAAAAGTGTCCTGAGA